CCTCACTAGCATGGCTAAGCCCGAGGTGCCGACGGTTCCTCGCCAAACTCCATCCCCTTTCAGTGCCGTTTGCGCCTCGCGCGCCATATTGTTGGATGCTATTATTGCGCACCTTTAGGCCTATCTCTCTGACGGCTCTGAGCCACAGCTACTCATGCAGCTAAAAGCACGACATATAGTGGCTGCATTTCGCAATCTAACACTGCCTGCGCCAAACAAAACCGCTCGACACCACAGCTTGCTACGTTGTGCCGGTTTGTACGTGATAATCTACTGGAACGCTGCTGCTATACTGCCCAGGCGTCTTTCTAGATCTCTGAAAGAAGAGAGGAAGGGACAATGGAGTTTCAAGTTTTTTTCCGCAGTCCCACACCTCGGTTCGCTGTACCTACCTTACCGGTATGAGGCAAAGGGGCCTCGTGTACGCTTCCATCATTCATTTGCGATGGTAAATATAAGGGCAAGGGATCTGGACGTACGAGAAACATTGAATCTGACAGATTTTCAACATCGATAGACAACAAGATGAGCATTTCTGCGACCAGATACGCCGGAGTCTTGCTACTACGGACCAACAGCCAATCTCATCTTCAACAAATCCTTTTCCAAAATCTCCTCCTTCTTCCCGGTCAACTCCTCCATATCCCAACACGCACTAACATACCTCCCACCGAGCCACTGCCTCCTCTGCGCTCCCAACCACATCAACGTATCGCCCGCCAACTCCGGCGTATCAACAAGCCACTCATGCATATGTCCCGGCATACCCAGCGCCAACTCTGTCTGTATGCCTCCCGGATGCACAGCCATAGCCAGCATACCATCCTTGCCCTCGCCATGGTCCTGGTCAATGAACTCTGTCAATCGGAGTGAAGCCAGCTTAGCTGGTCCGTACGAAGAGCTCTGCGGAACAATCATGACAGCGCCGATGGAGGTTATATTGATAATGATCTTGGAGCCGGCGAGGAGGTGGGGCCAGAATGCGCGGGTTACGAGGTAGCTTCCTTTTACGCTGACTTCGTAGTCGCGCCACCATTCATCCGGGTCGGTGTCTGGGATACCAGCGAAAGAAGCGAGACTGCCCGCATTGTTGATCAAGACGTCGAGGCGGCCGTCGAACTTCTCGGTGACGAGCTTAGCAGCAGCGTCTACGCTGTCTTTGCTGGTGACATCGAGATTTAGTGCTAGGACCTGTGGTTCAAGACGGCCTGCAGATTTGGCTGCGGCTTGGACGTCTTTGACCACGGTGGAGAGGTTGGATCTCGCACCGAGTATTATGCCCGAGGCACCTGCTTTTGCGTAACTCAGGGCTGTGGCACGGCCGACGCCTTTTGAGGCACCGTGGATCAAGACGTGCTTTCCTTGGAGATTGAAGTTGGACGGAAATATGTATGGGTAAGTGTCGTGACGGTCTGTAGCCACGAAATTCAGGCCTAGCAGATGTGTGTTAGATGCGTACTTGCGATGGAGAAAGGCTTGAGTGAAGGTTTAGTACCATTGGAGGCGCGGCTTTCACCGAAATCTTTGGACATGATAGGTTTTGCTGGATTCAAGAGTAATTCGAAGTAGCAGAAGTCTGAATGTTCGTTCAATGCTCGAGAGTGAATTCTTGTAATGGCAGCGTATATAGTACTGCAGAACTAGATGTTGTATGACGTAACCTAGGCCCCCACTCGGTATGGCACAGGATGCAAACTAGGATCACGGCGGTATGCAAGGAGTTACCGGACATAGCTATTCGGCAGTTGTCATAGAAAGAAACGCGTTGTATGAAAGTAAAATGAAATTCGTGAATTGATTAAGTCTATACCCCATGCGCTTACTTGCTCAACGCTAGTATTCTTTCAACAGCCCTCTCCGCCGCGATCATAACACCCATAACAGGGTTCGTGGTCAGAGGCGGCACGATACTCGCATCGATAACGAACAAGTTCTGCATCCCAATCACCTTCGTATCCGTGTCAATGCAGGCCTCCATCCTGCAACTGCTGCTCCAATGTTGCACATTGCCAAGTGTGAACGCGCTTGGCGTGGTCAGATAAGTCGCAATCTGCTCGATAGTCGAGTTCTTTGCAACGTTGAGCGGGTTGAGGGTATCTGGCAGAGCTTGGAAGATGTTGTAGACGAACGTCGCAATCGCGGTCGCATCGCGGGGGTCGGCGTAGAAGTTTGATGAGGGAAGAGCGATACCTCTGGCATCGAGGTTTACGCGGCCGACGGATCGGAGACCAGAAGTGCCGTAGACGTTGAGTGTGATGGTTCCGTTCTGCGTGAGGCCCATTGATCCAGCAGAGTCAATGGTACCCTGGCAGCCCACTACATCATCGCCTTGCTGAATGTAGTCCCAGAAAGCACTCGTTTGGGAGGCGAACGTGTAAGGACCAGATCGTTCGTTGAGGTACAGATCGACGTCGGCTTGCGGTGGGTTGGAGTAGTCGTAAGCATACGAGGCAATCTCGTCAGATTGAAGCTCGATAAAGGTGTTTGGGTTATCGAAGACACCGTTGCCGACAGCGGTGTTGTTGATCCAGTCTTGAGAAGGAACTGTAACATGACCGTTCTTTGAGAGATTTGTCAGGGTCGCTGGCTCACCGATGCCAGACCACATCAACAGCTGAGGGCTAAGAAGAGCACCAGCTGAAGAGATGACCATACCGCCTTCCTTGATGCAGATGCTGGAAGAGTTCTCTGCTCCGTTGGTCTGAACGTCGACGCCAGTCGCTACGCCGCCCTCTCGACGAACACGCAAGACTTTAGTGCCGGTTTGGAAGGCGAAGTTGGAGCGAGCCAGGGCCGACTGTAAGTATGTCTTGACTGGACCACTCCTTTGCCCGTCCTCGTAGTACCAGATCGGGTGGCCGAACACCTTGGTCTTGTTGTGGTTCTCGATGCCATCGTTCAGGCCAACCTCTGCGAAACCCGCGCCATCAACAAGCCACTGCTTCGCAGCATCGTAACCGCTCTGCAAATACCTCTTGCCGTCTCTTGAAGGGCTGTCTGTGTTTGGCTGTTTCGCTCTGACCTTGTTGATTGCGCATTGCATGTCGTCATTCTTCCAGCCTTGGGGGAAGTAGCGATCCCAGTCGCTCGCGGGTGGCTGGAAGAACAGTCCAGCGTTGATTGCGGAGTTACCACCGACGGTGCATCCTTGAAACGCGTTGACGACATCAGAAGCGCATGTCAAATTTCCTTCACCGGAATTCGAGAAGATGGATTTGTACAGCCCGGGAACATCAACGCGGCTGAGTTCAGTTCCGTTTAGCCATTCTGGGCGAGCACGACCGCCGGTCACGTAGTACGACGGGCCGCCCTGCTCTAGTAGTAGAGTCTTCTTGCCGGCTTCGCTCATGCGGTCCGCTGTAACGATACCCGCTGGACCAGAACCTGGAGGATGTCAGACTGATGCCAGATTTTGAATGCAGATGATCAAGCTTACCAACGACAATGACATCCCATTCACCACCAGCGCATTGCTCTGCCGCAGCATAGCTCGCGAACGCAGCGACCGGTAACAGAACCTTCAACATATGAGTCGCTACCATGATGCCTTCTCTTTGATTTCGGAGGTGTTGTTTGTCCTATGTTGCGAGGCTATAGCTCCTGCCGTGACAAGGCCGAAGGCTGACTTTAAGCATCTCATCTCACCCTCAGCTCCTAGCAAGTACGCTTACCCTAGCCTCGAGCTCTAAAGCACGGTGATGTACAAGTACCACCATGCTAAGCAAATTTGCAGCGTGAAGCTGGAGCCGACATCACCGAACACGAAGAGGTATGACGCCGTTTACGGGGTGGAGCGTGCGCAGGCCTAAAGCATCGCCCAGATGCGGGCGCTTTACCTCTTCGCACGGGCTATGAGCGCATAGATCTCGCACCGGTCGATGGTCGTGGAAGCTTAAGAATCATCGCTCCGACGGATTGGGTGCGTGGCGGTCGTTGCGTGGTTATTTTGGGACATCGGCGGCGAGCTGAAGGTGTGGCGAAGTTGCATCGTGAGGGGTCCGGCCTGTCAGGAAGAAGCCCAACGTTAGCGGAAGGTGCGGCTGAGGTTGTGACTTTGCGTCAGTCACCTAGATCTTGACTCCAGTATTTTCTTCTTTCGACCCCTCTGTTACTCGCATCGCAGACGGCGAGATTGGGTAAAAAAAAGCTTGAGAAGCTTGTCGCATGCAACCTGCCCGCTCGGGCCGCTCGGAAGGATTGATTGTGGGACCATCGTATGGGGCAAGGGCTACCTGGCGCGACGTTGCAATGCACATGGCATGTGGACGGGAACCGTGCAAGCGTGCGGGAAGTATTGACAGTCATTCAGTGGTGTCTTTCGCTGTCGACGTAGTCATAGTTTAGTCTTAGTCGCCATAGAGTCACGCGACGCATTTCTCAACACCTACCTCGATATCTTCGGTTTCTACGACGCGCAGGATCGTGATCAGCATTGATTACCTCGCGGTCATCTCTGCATGCGACATGTAGTCGCTATGCCACACGCAATCTCATCAAGATGAAGGAGGTCTACTCTCACACCTTGCGCGGTAATCCCGCAATGATCATGGTCAGAGCCGCATAGGGGTACGCCTCGAAACTCACGATGGCAGGATCTTACCCAAGAAAGACACGGGTAGAATGCCCAGTAAGACGCGGCAGACAGAGGTACGCAGATGGCATGCGAAAGCCGACAGTTGTTCTTCGCCCTCGACTTATTCAGTGTTGGTCAGAGACGAGCCACCCATACACGATTCGGTTCAGGATCACTGCAGTCTCATGGGAATCATACATCGCCGTCATCGATCGCGCGACGTGTAGAAGAACACCTCACATAGAGGGTGCGACTCATCTTGGAGTCATGATACAGTATGGTATTTAAGCCCCGAAAACATACTTCATCCAATTCATACCACCGTCAAGAAGCAAACACAACCCCGCAGACTTAATTTCTACCTCACCAGCACGGAAAGCCCTCACTTCAACCAGCAGCTGATAAGCACACCTTTCGAATCAGGATTATGGCCTCAAATTATGGCAAGAAGTTGGAATTCGCTTACGTGCCGCCTCATCTCGAAACAAGATATGCGCCGGCAGCACTGAGAATTAAAGGTAGAGGCATTGTGAACAGCCTACATAACACAGAGCTAATAGATAGTAGGACTTCTCAACAAAACAAACGAATCTGGCGGAGCCAAATACTATATTCAAGTTAAAAAAGCGAAGGACGGGGTTTCAGGTTTCACAGCCAACATTCTCGACGAGAACAGGAAATCGATCTTCGCCAAGAGAGCGATTTCAGGCCATGACGAGTACGGCAAACCAATCTACAAAACGAGAATGATCTCAGGCCATGACGAGGAGGAAGCGTTCGAAGAATTGGCACGTGTACTGGAGTACGACGTAAACATCAACGAGGCTTACAGCTTTAAGGCCGCCTTCATGGAAAAAAGGACGGATACCAAATGCTACTTTCACGTGCGAGAGGGAGATGTAGGCTGCACGACATCTAAAGAGGCAATCATCACACTAGTTAATCTCAGTGGATCCGAGGTTGAGGCGAGTGCCTTTCTTTCGGAATGGATGGGGTGGGCAGTCAGAAAATTGAATGGAAAACGTCCAAAAGGGAAAGGGAGTGGAGAGGTTAATGGAAAGGAGAGTGGTGAGGACGACGAAGGAGAGAGTAAAGAGGAAGGAGGTCATGAAAAGGCGAATCAGGGTAAGAAACGGGACAAGTTGTCCTCTGGACAACCCAGCTAGGGTAGAGCACACTTGGAGAAGTCCTTAGTACTGTAACTTGACAGCCAATCAATTGATCCCAGCGAACAGTAGTTTCCACTTATCCATGAGTTTGGTGGCTATAGTCAAGACCCGAAGTTCTCTCGTGAGATTGCTCCAGTTCGGCACTCTCCACATCATGACCATTGCTAGTTACATTGTGTGTGACTCGTCATCTTGGCAAAATTTGCAGAAGAGGAACGCTGACGCTGATTAGTATGGCATTCCGGCGAAGCTTTTTCTTACTCAGACGATGTTCTAGTTACACGCTCTCTAAACACATCGCACTTACTGCTGTAGTCACAAACGACAAAGGAGGTGTCATCACCACCATGACGAAAACGAGTACTAGATGAGTATTCGGTGACTACACATACTGACTGCACCACTGTCGACTCAAAACATGACAAGTCATACGAAGGTATTTAAACTTTCGCTACTACAGTACATTCTCCCTTCTTCTGCCTCTATCCCCTACCAAGCGTACAACACCTCCTAACACCAAGCATATCGCATCAGCCTGCAATACCAACGTTCGAGAAAGCACATATAAGACACAGACACGTGATGTCTTGCAAGATGTCGAGTGCAGAGCCAGCCGTGTCTACTGCCGGAGGCAACGAGAGTGACACGTCAGAACAAGGAAGGAGCGAAGCGAGTTCATCCAGCCAAGATACTTCCCCAACCAACGAAAGTGACACGACAGAACAAGGAAGGAGTGAAGCGAGTTCATCCATTCAAGATATGTCCCCGACCAACGAAACATCGCCAGAGGAAGAAGACGCTCCTGTTGAAGTTAAGGAATATAAATACATCACATGGACCAAAGAAATAAGCTCGAAGAAGAGGTTCAAGACCAAGTACGCAAAAGAGTGTGACGAGCTAAAAGGTAGAACATTGTTGATCGTTGCCGGAGATGTTTGACTCACGCGTGCTAGCTCTCATTATAAGACTATGGCCTAAAGTTCGTGGCTATCATCCTGAAGTTATCGTCCGCCACAAAGACGGACCAAATTATCTCGTCGACGTAGCTGATGCGGATGACAAAGACTCGGAGGATAAGATTACGCTATTACCGCAAGGCGAGCTCCCTTCGAAACCGAAGCTTAGAGTTGCAATCCTGGACTTGATTGAGGAACTAAAGTCCCTGGACGAAGATAAGAGCTGGAATGCAGTTGATTTGGAGAACGTCGACGCCGTTGAGGCAGAAACTGGAATTCTCAAGGAGCGTTTGCAGGCCACATGTCCGGAACGCTGGGAGCTGCGGGGAAAACCGAAGGGAAAACCACCAGTATGGCATTCGATAATCGAAAAAACGAAGGATGGTCGACACTGGGAACGCATCGGTTCGAAAGACTTTGACTCGGAGCTCAAGATGGCTCTATGGATGAGGAGGCAAGTGAGAAGAGCGCTACTTGCTACCCAGGATACAGCGAATAACGATCAGCCAAAGAGGGAGTCGGTGAAGAAGGACTCGCCAAAGAAGGATCCGGCGAAGAAGCCACAGAGAAACGGTTACTGGGTGAGGAACCAAAAAAAGTGAGTAAGGGTGGTGAAGATTGGTTATCAGAAGCTCATCAGCAGGGAGGGATCTTTCAGTTCAACACTAATTATCTGGCGGGGTCAGCGATGTCCGCGTCCTTTCATATCATAGTTGTAGTATTCCCCACATCTCAATACCTTGGTCACTGTTGTCGATCTGGCGGTTGTGTGATTTGTTCTGCGCATTCGTCGCTCGCGTGCCTCATGAACCTCAATTCCAGTAGACCATCGCAGTGTTGCCTACATGCCTAGGCCAGGGCTCCGCCGATGCCCGAAACCATCGGAGTGCCTATACGCATATGAACATAATATGTTGAAAGACTACGGACGTCATCGGCAAGGCACTCAGTATCCCTGCCGCTATCCGGAGCAACGTTTGTCGTAAATTTTCCCATGAAGTAGAACAGTGGGATATAACCTGTTATTCGATTACTTACAAATACTCCATCGTCCATCCTGTTCCGCTTAGCCCATAAGCTGCAGCTGATCTGTAGGCGGCCACCTCGTCTGCGCAAAGCTCAAACACCGCTTGATACTCTGCAAATACTTCCGCGTCATCTCGTCACTCATGATATGCGCCGCATTCTTATCGCTCTCGTGCAGCTTTTCTCGCGCGCTTCTCTCGTGGATACCCACCATGGTAACACCAATGGGCCAGGCCGCCTTGCCGATACTGAGACGTAGATAACCATCGTTCGCGTCGACGTATCTGCGCTCCTGTGCAGCGTGCACAATCTCTACCACGGGCTCGACGATACTGTCTGGCAGATCAAACTTCTCCAACTTCTTGAACAGTGGCCGCATGTTCTCGCGCGCCTGTACCATAGCGGCGTATGCTTGTTTTCCTTGGTAGCTCTCTTTGACTTCGGGGTCTCGACGTAGAAGTGTGAGGTCCCATTCTTTCAGCACCATGGTGAAGTAGCTCGCCAGTTGTCTGAAGAGGAACTCGCGACCCTCCTTGTCCTTGGGTACCTGGGGGCTGACCTTCATGTCCTTCTCAGGCACGAGTTGTAGTGTTGTGGGTATCGGACCGTCCGTCATGATGGCTGCTAGGCTGTCTGCGCCGACGCGCTTCTTGTATCGTTTTAGGCGTTGTTTGTGTGTCTCGCCGAATAGCCGCGCTGGCTCATCGAGGGCTCTCAGCTTTGCGACGAGCTCTTCGTCCTCGATATCTTCGTCTTCGGGGACTGGTGTGCCGTCTCCTTCACCGTCCTTCTTCTTAGGTGGAAGATCAGGAAGACCTAGCCGCTTTCGCCGCTGTCTTTCCTCTGCCTCTTCCTCTTCTTCCCGTATGCGTCTTGATTCCTCGGCCATGCGCATGCGCTTTTCCCGGCGCTCGGCTTCCCTCTCGGCTTCATCTTCTTCGGCTTTGCGCTTCTTCTCGTGACGGTCTTGCCGTGCCTTCTCCGCGGCTTCTTGTTCGGCGACGTATGCGGCTTGCCGTTGTGCTTCGATTTCGCTGCGCTTCAGGTACTTTTTCTCGGTCGGTTCGGCTGGTGAGGCTGTGTCTTTGCCCTTTTTGATATGTGCGGACATCAACTTCGCGAAATCCATGTTGGCGACTGTGATGTTCGGGGTCTAAAGTGAGACAACGTGTTGAAGATGAGTCAGTGTTGTTTGCGACGTGGAGGCTCACCTACGCCTTCCAGTGGAAGGTACGTGCCGAGGAAGGCGCTAGTGGGAGCTCTCCGCGTCCCGGTCGCGTTCCTTCCTCCCCAAACTCTCCAAACACATTCATATCTTGCGCCTGACGTCACCTCCTCACGACTTTCCTAGCGAATTGTCGCTACGTGCCTGCGAATTTCGAAACATCTTCATACATTGACTAGCCTGATTGTCCACAAGGCTGCAGACCTCACAATGGCGGCTCCCGCGAAGATTGACCGTCAAACAACGACGCCCTTCCTGTTGCGCCTCTTCTTCAAGCAAAACTCATTCCATAGGTGCGCATTTCCCATAGTTCTATAAACGTATGAAGCGAACAGAGTACTGATAAGCCAAAGACTGGACGAGTTCGATCCGACACTACCACGTCTCCCAACCAGCGTCCAAATCTACACATGGCAGAGCTGTAGTCTGCGCGAGCTATGCACATTACTCCTCAGCGCAGTACCAACATTACTTCCGCAGCCATACGCCGGATCGCGCATCGCATTTCGGCTCGTGTACCCAGACATACAAGGCTCCAACCGACCAGGCGCGCCAGGGCGATTCATATCACGCGACATTGGCTCCGTCATTGTAGGCGCGCGACCAAGAGATGAGGACATTGACATGGAAGGCGTTGACGGAGGAAGTGTCACAGAGGCTCTCAAGCAGCTTGACGGCGACGCAGACAAGACACTGGGGGACGTCAGGTTTATGATAGGCGACTATGTGGCATGCGCCATACTTCCCCCGCTACCCGACGGCAGCGTACCCGCTGCACCTCCGCCGCTTTCTGGACCGGGTCGAGGACCGCCTTCAGGACCGTATGGCGGACGACCGCGCGAGAACGGCTTCGGTGGACGGGGAGACTACGGCGGCTACGGTAGAGGTGGTAGGGGTGGTGGAAGCAGATTCGACGATCGGAGATTAAGTGGAAGTGGTGTACCGTTTGGTGAATGGAGGAGAGGTGAAGCGCCACCGGACCGAGAGCTAGGCTTTGGAAGAGGGGGCAGAGGGGGACGAGGAGGTGGAGATGACTGGCGCGACCGAGGAAGAGGACGGGGACGATGGTAGTACAAACCTCTGACTGTGAAGTCATGACGCTATTGTTGCGACTCAGGCGCGGCACAAGCCATGATGGCGTCCAAGCAAGCAGCTTTACGAAATACCAAGTCACCATTTGAAGCCGGTGAGTCACTATGACCGCTCGTAGGATGAGTTAACATTGAGGTTGACGGATACATCGTAGTATCACCCAGTCTATCGAGTCGCTATCAAGCTTCGAATTCGTCTCCATGCTTCAGCAGCGTGTGATATCCCCTCCCTTCGCCTCATTGTCGCCGTAAAGCCTACCACACGAACTCGCCCTCGCAAACTATTACCTCGTTGTAGCCACGAAGTCTACCATACGAAGTCGCCTTCCCAACATATTGGCTCGTTGTAGCCGCAAACTAGACAGTATGACGTTGCTGTTTGGAAGACTTCTCGTCTTCGATTTGCTTCAATAGCTTTTCGTAGGCGGTCACTACATCCAGCGCAGCCGGACCTTTGAGGAATGGCTCCTCCTCGTTCGCGACGTAGACCAAAGCGATCTTCTTGCCGTCGGTTCCTCCCTCCTTGAACTCGTATTCTTGACGCCATGACGACTCTGCACTCTCGTTGAGATGGTCTGCACACGTGTACGTTAACAGAAAGCCTACACAGGAAGCGCCCAGAAAACTCACCCTCAATCAGCTTTCTCAATCGTGCTACCTCTGCCTCGTCCTCCTTGCTCAATTTGGACTTCTCCTCGACAGGGGGCGGCTCGTTGCACTTCGGTGTTGCGAACTCCCTCGAGGGCATACGCAGTTTTTGGAAAATGGTATATTGGTAGTAAAGGATACATGAAAGCAGGCGCCGTGGTTTTGATCATGGTGATGAGTCTTTTGGTGAGTCTTTTGGTGTGAGTGTGTGTATGTGACATTGCTCGGAAGTGACTGCGAGTGACTCGCGTCATTGTAGCGTGAAGGATGTCGACGAACATGCGATCAATTTATGTGAGCTATCACAGGATCCAGCAGCATACATTGGCTCAAAGGCTTGTTGAGCTGCGAACTCAAGTCCAACTAGAAGTATACGAACGAGGTGGAGATGATGAAGTCGCCCTGTTCAAAGTCCATGTAGGCGCAAACTGCCTGGTGTTTACAGTCTATCTCCAACAGACAATGGTTTGTATTCCTAAACATCAGGATGAATGATTCGATTTCAGCTTGGAAAACTGATGTCGATATCTCATAAACATGTCGTAGTGGCGATGAGATGTGTGGTGCATGTAGCAAGTATTATCCCAATTCGGTTAGTGCGATCTCGTCTAACAAAAGCTGGCTTCCTGTACGTTGCAGAGGACACTTCACCACGACAATTCACGCGCAGTGAACATATTCGCTGCGTGTACGTTGGCGCCCGCACTTATAATATGGACAAAACCTATAGTTATCAAGCGCTTGATCGTTGCCTCTCTCAAATACGTATATTTAGTCTGCTTCCGGCATCTGATCATGATGCCCCACTGCGAGGCAAGCTCCGCACCGAACAGTTCTCATCGACTCCGCCGCCTTATGAAGCCATTTCGTATGTGTGGAGAGAATGGAACGGAGAAGACCTGCTTGAAGTGGATGGTGAGGGACTAATGATAACCCGCAATCTCGCTCTCGGTTTGAGACGCGTAAGACATGAAGACCGGACACGAGATCTGTGGATAGATGCGGTGTGCATAGACCAAAGCAATCCAGAAGAGAAGTCTCAACAAGTTCAAAAGATGCATCAAATCTATACATCGGCGTCAAGGGTGCTTATCTGGCTGGGAACCATGGTACTCTCGGACCACACGGATCGCAGTCATCGGAAATTCCGGATGCATGACGAAGACGCGAGCAGCCATATTAATCACGCCATGGACTATCTGGAACGCTTGCAAAAGCACGGTTTTGAGGGTCTCGACGATGAATGGTGGAAGGTTAAAGATGAATTCAGGAAGCTGTTCGGAAGCCAATGGTGGAAGCGGGTTTGGACCATCCAAGAGGGCGTGGTAGCCAACGAACACTCGCTCATACTCTGGGGGTCTCGAGAGATCTCGTGGGCATATCTTCTCAACCTAGTGGAACGTACGAACTTATTACATAAAGAGCTCAGGCCCAAGTCAAACTGGGAACATCCAGCTTCAGACTTTGTACGGATCTATAAGCATTACCATAGCTCTGGGACGATACCTCTGGAGGACCTCATATACGCGTCGCATATGAGATTTGCGTCCGATCCTCGAGATCTCGTATATGCTCTTCTTGGTCTCGTAAAGAGACAAACTCTCGAAGATTTCGCACCTGATTATACGAAAACATCTACGTGGGCATTCCAGAAAGCTGTCATCGGCGTTATGAAAGAGCGGGAAGACCTGGAGTTCTTGTTGAACATTGTGCTGGCGCGGTCGAGAGAGAATTGGAGTGAGAAGCCTTCTTGGGTCCACGATTCCGCGGAGTATTCACTCCAGCTATCCACCCGCCTCAGGGACTATCTGTTTAGCCGCTACAACCTAGTGCACGAAGGCGCAAGCACTGGACGAAGTTTTCCTGGTGTACAGCATGACGAGCAGTCGGGTACTATCAAGATCACTGGCGCCATCGTTGGACCGGTCGCAGAATCCCAGACGATTTTTACCGATTGCCACAGCGAATTGGCCCAGAAAGAAAACAATTCTCTCTATTATGATCTCTTCCTCCGCCAGCACCTTAATGCATTCGTACCATGGCTTTTACAGACACTACAAGACTTTACTTGTATTGCTCGAAGAGCATGGAGCAAGCGCTTCTCGCCGGACGAGATCAACGCAAAGGTAGAAAGAGGGGACGTTTGGCGTGTCGCTTTAGATGGACGGACTATGGACAACCTGAAGTCGCGCATCAAGCAACCGATGCCCAAAGCTGTCGTAGATGAATGGGCAGTCCTCCAGCGCTATTCAGCGCTCGATACCTGGCGACATATGCTTTCTCAGGAAAAGAGTGGTTTGGCCGTGGATCCAGAATTCAGCATTGCAAAGTCATTGTATCGCCACATCGTAGCCATTTTTAGTACATACCCACACTGGAAAGGGTGCCTTTTCACGACGACAAGCGGCTATGTTGCATCTGCGGGTATGAAAGTTCAAAGCGGTGATGTAGTGTGTATCTTCTTTGGATCTCTCCTACCACTGGTTTTGAGACCACAGAACGATGGAACGTACATCATTGTCGATGCTGCTTACGTGGACGGAATAATGGAGGGGGAATTCCTCCAAGACAGATCAAGCTACACGGATACAGAGTTCGTCATCAGTTGAATGGCTCTAGTGAGAGCTGTGTCAATCCTAGAATCTGGCTGCATATTCCAAGTCTGGCACTCAGGAGGTCACCGTTACACAGTGTATCTTCTGAATTTTTGTAGCGTCAAGTCCTCTATATTGCGTAGCCAAAGTGCCATCGCGGCTGAGCGAAGGACAACATGGGCCTGCCTCGAATCGTGAACGCAGCGAATCATCGCAACATCGACGCGCCCGAATCTATCGTTCGATCACAGCACGACTTTCATGCCAGGAAGCGGCACATAATCGACCACACCGATCACCGGACTACCCGTCGGCACGCAAACGTCCTTCAGTGTCCAAGAAACGTCTCCCAGCTCATGGTCATTTCCACCTCCATCAACAACATCTCAACGTATTGTATCACATTAGTTGTCATGCGGTGGTAATAATAGCACTGTTGGCGTGCTGCAAGCTGAGGTGGTGTGTTGGACCTTACGATTGAGGACGAGGAGGTGTGGAGGCGAAGCAGGCGGTGTCGCATGCACGCCCGCCCATACACACATGAGCCATCCACTGCAGCATCAAGGGACAGTGAACGTCATCGCACCTCTCAAGAAACTGTTGGTTCTATTGTTAAGCTCCAATTCACAGCTGAGCAGATATCATTGTTCTAGAAGGCTGGAAACTTGGAGTCGCACAGTCCACTTTCTAGCGTTGATAAGCTGGAAGGTCTGGAAGACCACACGGCTGACTGGACCACTACGACTGGCAGCCACTACCGGCATTCCTCCACCAATTCTGCTCGGGCCGCTGAACGGTCGACTGCCCGCCTGCATGCGTAGCATGGAACGTCTTTGCAAACGTCTACGCAAGGGCTTTGTCCTTTCGTCAGTGATGCGTCTATCGACCGCTTTCCTGCAAGCGAGGAGATGTTGATCAGACGATCCGTACTACACGCTAGAGGGGAAGGAAGAGCGCAGGATCGCTACCTCGTTGAGGGGTAGACGCCGTCTACGAAGGCGTGACGAAACGGGTGCGCGGCAATCCCGGCAATCACAGCGGAAGCTATCGCTAGCGGGGAGTTGGATGATGATGTTGCAGAATGCATCGAAGAAAGTCATCATGGCTCAATGAAGGTGCGACACGAAATCTACACCGCATGTCGCGCGAGGTACTGATCGCCAATACAGCACAAGCTAGTGGTGTGTAGCAAGTCGACCCATGTACAGAGGCTTCATGTGCAGATGCTGCCTTCTACCTGGAGGCCTTGGACTTGGGCGGGGCACAGACTTGCGCAGCCAGTCAAGATTGGTGTGATGCGTTCGATTCGATCATATCTCGATTCGAATCATGCAAGAGCTTGGGCCCTGCTGCATCATGCTCAGCGCATGTCTGGGGCTCAGTGGAAGATTGGAGATGCGCGCGTGCCCAACCATCATTCTGATGGTGTTCAAACCTCATCCAGAAAGCCCGCATACTGTGTGAAGCCATCGTATGCAAGGGCAATGATGAGTTGAAGCTACGGTCGGTACCTGCCTCAACTCAAAGGGCCGGCAGTGTCCTATCTAGCCCGGGCCGAACGGTGAAGCGGGTGTTGTGTCGAACGATGAACGGCCAATCACCGAAACTCTCTTTTGTAATTTGTAAGGCCAGTCTCGAGTGTGGGGTAGTGGGTCATCTGCCAGCAGGTCGCGCAGAAGCGCGGTCAGTTCGGATTGGGAAGGCGATATAGGTGAGCTGCCCATATTTTCGACGCTTTCGGACATATTTTCAACAGAAACTGTACGTCTACGGCAAAGTCGTTCTACATCAGGATGTGCTTGTTGTTGGGGTCTTTTTTGGGGGTGTGAAGGACGTGTTGGGTGCCATCGTTCTTACTTGATCTTTCGCGTCCATAATATGTCATTTCACTGTTTTCATGTCAGCAAATATGTCTGGACAAAGCGTTTCGTGGGTTACCAGAAGTAGACGGCATCCTTTGTTCTTCCTACGGTGTATCATGGTGTGGCCTAGAGGCGCTCTTGGCCCCTCTTTCGCCAGACTGATCCTATCTACGTGCGTTGTTACAGTCTTCGCAACCCATATTTCTCCAAGATATCCACAACGAGCTCCACGTATAGACATGCGACTACAGCGCCAGTGACGTCGCCGTTGGAGTAGATACCCTGTCATTCTCTACTACAAATGCATCCTACTCCTACAACAACTGTGCGAGGCCCTACTTTCGTGCGAGACTACTCTGCGTGCATGAGTGAGCCCTCAGACTAGGCGGTTAATGCGGGTGAATTGCAGATTCTAATCTGAGAAGGGGTGCTGCGCCGGGTTGTGGCTTGCTGTGCCGCACTCTCGTTGGCTCCTCTAAGCGCTGCGGCGCGCGGAAAACTGATATGCCTTCCCATACGTCGATTCGAGCGGCGCACGAACCGCAATGGCAGACCAGTGTCTTTTCTTTCACCGCGATTATGCTGGTCGATCCAATGATGTTGTTCCGCTGAGCATGCATTCCCAATCTCAACGCATTCTCGAGGTTGAGGTTGGGGAGATGCAGACTTTCAGCGATTACAATTTCGCTTTGCCAGATGCGGGGAGACAAGTATCGGTGAAGGACCTGCAATCTGGATTGGTATTCCTACCATCGTAAGATCGCATCTGGAATCGTAAATCGTACGACACTAACGTCCACATACAGCGTACAGGACACCTTCAGTCAGAGATCATCCTTCGATCGTGGTCAGTGCGCGGGAACTTGTCTTCCTGCCTGCTTTCGCCAGAGCATTGACAGCTTACCTAGGCATCCCTCACAGGGTACAACCCTGCTGCCATGCAGTGTGCTCATCTATCCGGCAAGTCAGAGAGCTAGCTCAAACCGCACGTCTCTGCTCTCCACGGAATCTAACGAACCGGGCGTTTTCCGTTGACAAGCACCTGCATGTCGCCTCTCCCTGTCGTCGGGGCTGTGTGTAATCGGTGAGGGTGCCCCCAATCTTTTTCTGCGAATAAAGGTGATTGGCTGCATGTGATCTTCTGACCGATGTTTATTCCTTCCATGCATGTTCGATCGAGGAATCAGTTCAGACTGATGCATTAGCGTGTAGTCGGACCAAGCTGTCGCGGTCGTCGATGATTGCCATGCTGGGACGACTCGCTAGGCGCAACGAAAGACGCTGAGATCCATCCTCGGTGTTGGGGGCCGGATAACGAGTAATGTTAAGCGAAGCGCTTCATGAGGCGCTGTTCAACTGGTCGTTAGGTGGGCGTGTCCAAAATCTCTGTTTTTGGCCTTCCAGGTGTCAATCAGGGAAGTCAAGATTGCGATAAGACAGCAAGGTGTTCATTAAGATTTTATAGTCATTCATACAGCTATGCGCGCTAAAGAGATCTATGAACAGTGGAGAATTAGAAGAAATGGTACAGAAGCATGCCGAAGCACGATGATGACTTGCCTCCCCAGCGCCAGGTACCCTCAAAAAGTAATGTAAAATAAGAAGAAGAAATCATGTAAACATCATCTGCAGTGACATGAAGCGCACTACTTTCAATCAAAGCTTCGCTCTCATGTTCCTTTCCTTCAGCAGGTTCAGTTTCATCTTGAGACGTCTGATGAGCGGCCGCTCCTTGGGACCGAGGATTGCCTTCAACTCGGGAATGCTCATCTTGTTGTTCTTCCCTGCTCTGCCTCCACGGTTCACGTGCGTCCAGTAGTGATCGCGGAGGTTGTCGCCCCTAGAAAAGGTTTTGGGACACACTTTGCAGAAGTGGCACCTGTCATTGCCATGGACAGTCCTGACGTGGCGTCGAAGATGTTCCGGTCGTTGGAATCTTTTAGGGCATGGGACTCCAGTATGATCCTTGTCATCTAGAGGACATTGCCAGTGCCTTACGTCAAGCGTGTGGTGAAGGGGATACGAAGCAGGATTCTCGCCCCATTTTCCGAGCTTCATGACGTTGGCATTCGCTCCAGACCGCCGGGAGGACGAGTATGACGAACCGTGCAACGAGGCATCATCATCACTCTCAGAGTCTTCGGATTCTGAGTCGCTTTCCTTCTCACTGTGTCCAGCGTCACTAGCCAGTTCCTTCTTCAAGGGCCCTGGGTTAGCAACCCTGGCAGTAGCAAAGGGAGCTGGTGCGTGGTAGGGAATGTATGCCGGGGCTACTGGAGGGCCAGAGTGAGGGACGTATTGCTGAACCGGTTGCAGTGACATCTGCTCGCAGGCTGGACCACCGTGGTAAGGTAACGAAAACTGTTGCGAGCCCCATGTGGGAAGATCAGGGTAACTCGGTCTCCAGACATGTTCTGGTTCTGCTGCCCAGGTTTCGTGGTTGACTGGAGAGCGAACATGATGGAATGCCGGGCTTTCGACGTTATCGTACATTGGCATGCCGGTGTAAGGTGGCGTGGGAATGCTCTCGTTGTGGCTTATGGAAGAACTTGTGGACATTGGACTGCCACAGCCTGGTCCCTCGAGTAGCCATGGATCAAAGGCGTCTATCGGAGCGCTCAATGATCGAGTAGTTGATGTCTCGCGAGCAAGGTGGTGGAAAGACATCCGTTCATCGTACGATCCGTTACCATGCTTCATGGGGATAGGCTCATGCGAATCACATCGGGAGAGATCCTGTGATCCCGGATAGTCCACCACGTATTGGTAAGGGCTCGAAGTGAAGGACTGGACACGTCGTTGCTCCATTATGGCGAGGTAAGACTAATGCTCAGTCAGTTATGCTTACAAGTGTCGAGTACATAGACATACTGTGTAGGTAGAATATGAATATGTAATGAACAATGTGAGAGTCGTATAAAGACAAGAGTATGGCAGAGTGCTTGGTGAATGTGAGACCTGAGGTTGATTGTTACACTGGCAGGACCGCGCCAATATAATATAGATCAGATGCAATAGCGAGCGCTCAACCATGCCACAGGCTCCGAGGAGTGGTTCATAGGGTTCAGCAGAGAAAGGAATGCTAACGATCGGTGAAAACGACGACCCAGCAGGTTGGTACCTGAGCGACTTGGCGTACTCGATGCCAGCATGCCGCTGCGTGCGTGCACAGCCTGACCGCGAACGAACAACGGCTCGAGCTAGCATGGGTAGACGAGCTAGTGTACGGCGTAGTCGAGCACTTGAGTCTTGAACGCTTCGGGCTTTGTTAGACGACCGAAGTTTTGCAGGCATGTATCCTAGTCGCAAAGTGCCTCATGTTTTTCTTGATAGCTGCTCTTCATCGAGTTCCAATATCCTGAATAAGGCCCCATCCGACAGACGCACGCTTCTCAGATGGTGGTTGGTAGGCACCCTTTCAAATGTGTACAGCAAGCAGCAGGGGCTAAGCTTTCAGTTGGCCACGAAGATCCATCTGATCAGGGTCTCGATGTGGGTGTGGTGCGCTCGCCTGGTGGCTTTTGCTCAACCGTTATTTAGCGTGGGGCAGCGTCAGATACGTGCTTTGACGTGTGGCAAAGATGGTTCGAGCGCCCAGAGTGCGGATGTTGTATACAGCTAACCGTGGTGAGTCCTTAGGAATGCAGAAGACGCACGCCTGTGACGAAGATAGAAGTGTTGGGTTTGACAGCTGGTTACTGGTTGATGCTGCAGGGACCTACCGTCGCTTACCAATTGGGGTAGACGAACCTAGGCTTCCTGCATTGAAGGCCGTGCTCAACCCAAGCTCTTTGATGCTGCGGCGAACTTGTTTCAGAGGCGTATGCTACAGCCACACATACTATTTGCAACTCCACCTATTCTAGATGGTGTTAGAAACCAATTCTCACCACGATAGCTGGCGGTAGTGGTCAACGTGGGAGTGTCTGGTCCTCTACATCTCTCGAGCTAGTTGGCATCTCACCAACGCGCCGTACTATGATTAAATCCTGGTCGTGACCTGAAATATGTTGAATCCCAAAAGGTGTGGAGATGTAACTGTCTGTACTGAATTAAGCAGTAGCCGCTGTGCCATAAGCGCTCTTGTTAGAATGTTTGGCCAGTTCGAGTTGAAAACCTGTAGAGTCAACATGAATGATCCTATATTTTGGATCGTTATGAGGTACAACCTGGCAGTCCCATGAGACGCAGTTTGTGAGATACATGTCTCCACTGTAGTTCTGACCTGAAAGGAATCACTGCAATCTTGCATAAGGTGACGATGCGATACGAGCTGCAATGCGGCACAGTTTGGGGGCTCCATCATCGTAGCGGAGATCGTTTCGAGTCAGCAGCTGATCGACACTTTACAACCCCAGCTTGATCTCATCTTCAGTCGCGGAAGCCCAACTGAGCGGCGTATTGGCCGCCTTTTCCTTGGGCCACGACAGGGAGTCGAGGTTATCGACGTACGTTGTGTGCAAAATGAGCCAGCCAGGTTCAGCTAGATTGTGTACATGGATCCCACAACTTGTCAACTTGTGGCCTAGAGTTTGGGTAGCGGACCAAACTACAAAGACTGTAAAAGCGGGAGCAGTGGGTCTTTGGGCTTGGATGACATCCGGACCCAAGTGTCGTATCGAAGGACCCAGTACCAAGATGGCAATTTCGAGCGAATGCAAAGAATTGGTCTGAGCAGCCGCGGGGGAAGCGCGTGCCGCAGGTAGACTAAGGTTAGCTCCCTGAATCGTCAGCCGAAAGCACTTACCCTGGACGTGACGGTGAGTCGACCAGCTTGAGTGGTCGATTATTCGAGACGATCATGCGTCCTCCGCCACTCACAAGTGTTTGATCTGACGGCATTCAACAGGAGCGCGGCTCGTGTATTGACACTCGCGAGAGGCGGTAGCCTCGTCACTGGCCAGTCGACGCCACGCATGAACCGGCCCATCACGTGTGTGGGCTGCTCTAGATTTGTTGCGAGCGTTTGACTGCACTCTCCACCTTCCGCTTTCAGCAAGAACGATAAGACGATATCTCCGTTGACGCTAACGGGAATTATTCGAGGGGAATGCATCGACAGAAGGATTCCGTTGTGGTAGGGCCATGTTGAGCCATCCCCTGCGAGGCGTGCTGAATTTGTGCGCCTGAGAGGCTCTTCCCACACGAATTAAGCCTAGATGTCAATCGACGACAGGACAGATTGTTGTCAGGGCTGGTTGTCCATCGAATAGGCGATGAGCAGTAGCAGCGAGATGAACTTGTTAAGGAGTGACTTTTCTTGGGCGATCGAGCAGTAGCTGAGCACAGGAAACTAGCAGTGTATCGGTACCAGCGAGAAATGACGCGTGGTGCTGTGATATCGGAGGGGTACAGAGTCCTTTCGGAATAACTCCGTACTCTAGCGTGTATACACCTGCGCATCTGCGAAGATTCCCAAGAATTCGGATGTGCCGTATGACTACATGGATAGCTTGTCAGCATCTGATCATGACTCGTCTTGAAGAAACAAGGTAAAGCGAAGTTTTGTAGGCTGGCCCCAAGCCGTCAGACGCAACCGAAGCCACGAGCTCCTTACCCCCGCATTGATACCAGTGCGGAATGCTAAAGAGTGCACTGTCTGTTACCGCATCCCCGACAAGACAGTTTTATCCCCGCTGCACATCATCGCGTGACAGTCCAGGATTGGTTGGTGATGTGACGTGATGGTCAGAGCTGCATACGCGCGCTTAATTGAAGGATCGCGACTTCGTGACGAATTTGAGGCCGAAATCTCGCTTCGCTGCAGCGAACCTGAGTTGGTTGAAATCGATCTCAGTAGGAGCTGTTGCTGCTCATTGATCCAGATGGGGCAGATAGAGCGATTGGCGATGTGATCGCGATGATGGGGAAGACGGAGGTTCCGAGTGAGATTAGCGGAGGGCTGGGGTACGGTACCAGATGGCCTAACGGGCGATGCCAAGCCCACTAGCCTCAAACGGAAAGGACCTCTTCGCACGCAACAATCCATGGATCTGGCTGTGCGCACCACCGGAGCTGTTCCCACCGGCTGATCTTTCTGTTCGCATTCCGTCACGCGGCATGCGCGTTTCCAAGGTAGATTTTGACTTGACACTCTAAGCGCAGCCTATAGGGGTCTGTTAGTGCTACATGGCATGGCTGATGTCGCAGACTGCGGAACTTCGTCACGATAGAGTGCTCTCGAATATCGAGTCGTCCATGCCGTGGTTGAGAAGACGCGGTGCCATTACAGAGAAGTCCAGTGTCTCGCACGAGGTGCTAAATGACGATACGGGTGGCTCAGCATATCTCGATCGAGCTGAGCAACGTGATCAACATCCCCCTTTACTAATCACACTTGTACCCCTTGACTCGATCCGAGTGCAGCAATCCTCTTTGACTCATGGTCAATTGCAGCACTATAGCAACTTGCATCAACCAGCTCTGCTTTTTCCTTAAGTGCATGAGCCCAGATTGGTACCGGCCTTGGAGCTGAGCGATTTACTGAGGAACTCCAACATGGGTGAACCCTTCAGTCGAACGTCTTAGATTTGGAATCACCACCACGTGTTTCTTGGGTTTGATTTGGAGTTTATCAGCTTGGTCATGAAAGACGACAATACTGGTGCGATTGACGTCAGCGTCATCGAGAGAGATCAGGTTCCTGGAGTACACATCTGTCTACGATACGCTTCCATCTCTTCTCCATCCAGAAGCTTTCGAACGCTGATTCCTATTCAAGAAGATGTTCATTTCGAGTCTTCCCAAGGTTCTCAGCAGTCATTGAAAAAGCAAAATCACCGCAAACCCTCCACAGTCTCAATACCACCCACAGCTTCCCATACCAAATCCTACCCAAGACCCAAGCGCAAAGACCACGAGACGATGTTACATCAAGGGCGCAACAAAGCCAGTTAGGTACGTGCCCACCCACTACCAAAACATGACTTCGTTACGAACTCGAACCCAACGCGCCGCACAACGATGGCCCGCCCGTACCGTCCGTCGCGTCGCATCGCCTGTAGCCGCCTTCCGCTCCGCTCCACCGTTCACTCGCAGATCGCGACGCCCAGCGAACCGTACCAAGGCTGCATACGAGGGGGCAGCACCGAGAGAAGGGCCGATGGGGACACGAGGAACGCGACTGTGGGGAAAGGGCAGATGGCTTGGCGAACACCAGCATGGTTTCGTTGTTTGCTGCGACGAGATTGTGTGATGGCGGTTGAGACGTGTGTAGGTTTGTCGGGGCTGTTGAGGATTCTGGCGTGAGGGTCATACACTTTGCTCAAGAAGACTGCGGCCTTCACATAGCACAGAGATAACACATCGAAGCACAAGTACAAATCCACACATAACAAGAAACAACGCGCTATGTCCATGAATTTGATCTAATCTCATTGACTCTAGGTAGAAATGTGTAGGCGTCTCTATAATCTCACCGCGCCGCAGCCCCCATCCCAACGCCATTCCTCCTCGCATGAATAACAGCACAAAGACACCGCCCGACCGCCTCCAAATCACCGAGAAGCGTGACGTGCCCGCGGTCGCTCGAGACGACACCGCCGCGAACTACACTATACCCAGTAGGCACCATGGCCGCACGAGCGAGTACCACACCGTCGCCGCTCGCAAAGGCAAGCTCATCATACACGTCTGCACGTTTGATGGCTTCTTTGCTTTCTACCTTTGCGCCATATACCGTCGGTGTGGACTTGCCGTAGATGAGTGCGATGGGTGGGTATGCGTTCGACGTTGTGTGTTCAGGGCGGTGGTCGAGTTCTTGTTTGAAGGCTTTGACTTCAGCGAGGGTTCGCGCAAGATACTCCACGGCTTTGTCGTAAGGGATCGTGACATCGGTCGCGGGGTTCGGCTCTTTGGATGTCTCGATGTTGTGTTCGTGGCCCATCTGGGGTCCCATGCCTGCTTGTTCGGCGCTTCCTTCTGTGACATTGTTCGCGGCGTTACGAGCTACGTCGGCTGCGTCTTTTGCGGTGCTGCTTTTGCGACTGGAGAAGGTTGGGAGTGATGAGGAGACGGCGTTCATCAGGCCACTAACGCTGAAGTTGCTGTCTTTGGGTTGTTCGGGGCGGGGCAGAGGTGCTGCTATACATGGTGAGAGGCGGTGTTCTTTCCAGGTGTTGACGTCGAAGAAGTCTACGGGATACTCTTCTTTCGTACGCTTGTTGATGAAGCACTTTCCATCGAGGGGTAGGAGAGCGTAGGATGTTCGAATGCTAAAGTTTACTTGTGCTGTTAGCACGCGTGAGGAGAAGAGGACATCGTCGCCGTTGCGGAATGGACCGAGGATATTCACGCAGCGTTGAGGCACTCCGGCATATACAACACCGGCTACTAGATCGGGACGCTGGTTGATAGCATGACGCGTGATCAAGCCGCCTAATGAGTGTGCGACTATAACGGCGCCACGCTTTTCTGGAGGGATGCCCGGCTGGTTACAGGGCAGCGACTCCAAGAATTGTATCATCCGCCGACTGAGGAAGTGCGGAGAGAGCCGCCAGTCATAACCGTAGTTGTGGACCCTGAGTTTACCATCCTTGACATTATCGCATGCATTCAGACGCTTGAACAGGCGCTTGGCTATATCGACGGGGCCAATATGGGTCAGCATGCCGCTGGGTATAATACTCTCCTCCATGCGCTCATCCGCATCTGGGTCCAAAGGTACCTCCAAGTCTACCTTGCGTAGGTTCAACCCGACCTTGATGGGCACCCAGAGTTGTCGATGAGGCGGTTCTGCTGAGCGCAAGATGGAACCTCGATAGCCTCCCAACACGACCAAGTCCCCTTCAAGCTCTTGCAGAGCCTGTGTGAAATATGGATGCGGCTCAAAGTCGCTGTCCCCACCCTTTGACGGCAGGCGCTTCTTCCTTGTCGAGTCGCGACGTGCTGCCGGTGCAGGCTCGGTTGCGCGGACATTGTCGGTTTCGCGGAGTCTAGACGCTATACTGGCATTACGGGTTCTGAATATTTCGCTGCTGGACGATAGGTTGAAGTTTGGGAACGAAGGGCTTGGCAGCTTGAAATTCGAGTCTTGCCAGCTGTCTCTGAGGGCCTTCAGCCTACTGTTGACCTGCTCTTGTACACTCTCGAAGCGCGTGTCGTCGCCAAGCGAAGACGCAAAAGACCTTGTGCGATATACGAGCAGAGAGCCCTCGGAATTGGACCGCCGTAACTTAGGCGCCGGTCGGTCGCTCGATATCTTAGGGGACGGTTGAAGGGTGTCGGTGCTCTCGTCGCTGAATTCGCGCTGGGGTATCGGAGCGGTGTTGGGTTGCTGTGGCATCTGTACGAGGCTCCTCGATGCGCTCCTCGACTCTTTGGGTGTGGAATGGCTGGCGCCATCCTGCTGTGGTATGTCTCGGGCTGGTCCACTGCTGGCGAAGGTATCTCTCCTCCGCCTGTCAGAGGTGCGTGGCTTCTCTGTATCGAGTGAGAGTGCTGACAGGCTCGGGAGCGAAAAGTGCATGTCTTTGTAGGATTTGGTGATGGACGTGGGCAGGGTGAAGGGCATGTATTTGCGCATCGTGTCCCCCATGGAGCCGCTCGAGGATGCCCGCCGTCTTCCAATCTGTAGGTGTTCGCGGAGTGTAGCTCGATGGTCGCCCGCCTTCTCCTTGTGGAATGTCTTCGGTCCTGCTCGCCATGGTGAAGGAAGTCGCGTTTGAGGGTCGGATTGCCGCTCGCGGTCGTCATTGCTCGATGTGTGCGTGGGTTTCGGCCTCACGTCAGCTCTCTGAACATCTTTGCTCGGTTCTGGACGCGGTGTCGTCTTTCTCAGTTCCGGTGTGGCATCGGTAGCTTCCTGCCAGCCCTCGAAAAAGGCCCCGTCTTCCGTGTCCTCTAGGGCAGCAGCCTTTTCCGCAGCCGGCGTTTTCGGCGAAGTCAGACGCGTCTGCTGCTTTCCTATGCTGACTCCAATCGCTGACTGTGCTGTCTCGAGCCCGAACGCGCTTTCCTCCGGCGACTCGTCTTCGGAGGGTGTGAGGTCATCGTCGACGATAGAGGCGAATTGTATGTCGGCGAGGGCACTTTGGCGACGCTGGTGGTGGGTAGGGGCTATGGATGTCTCTGCCATGGCAGGCTAGCCGTAGGAATTGGTAGGTGTATGGGCTGCAAAAGTGGCCCGAAAGTTGGCGTTGTCATGTTTACGGTACATGCTCCTCCCGCAGTGTGGCAGTGTCAGCTTTCCGCCCGCTGCCGAAAGCAGCGACATTCATGGCCGACCATCCCAGTCATCCGACCCAGCTTCATCTCGATATCAAGGACGGACGAGCGACGGTCTATTGTAGGCGACGACGGTGCAATGACGGCAAGCGCGACGCATATATTACCAAGGGCAAATGTCACGTCCAAGAGCGTGTCATGCCGATCGCGTCACGCCAGCCCACGCCCACGCGCCACGACGCCACGTTTCGTCCTTAGTCAGCTCTTCACATGACGAATCACCCCTCTTCCGTTGCAAACCATCCCGAGGCAGCGGCTCAGTACAGCACACATCCGTTATCAGCAATCTCAATCTCCATCCTTCGTTATCGTCGTATATTGACACGCGAGCACTTTTTCCAGTGCGATAGCTGTTATCCTGCTGGTTCTGGAAGGTTGCACCCAAGATGTGGACTCTCTCACCTTACGAGATACCCACGGCATACTAGGCTCCGTGTGGTATTTCTTCACGAAAAGTTCAATGGCTATGCAGCTCCTCGCGAAACTGTCTTCCAAGATCTATGGAAAATCTTAGCATGCGGCTCCGCGTCCTCCCGCTGATGCATGCAATCTAGCCTTCCGAGCCCGAGGTCGGATCGCACTCAGGAACAAGTCAGCCGATCTCCATCAGACCACCCCGGCTGCTTCTTAGTAACGCAATCGCAAGTTTGCGGGCTTTGTTCGCCAATTGAGTAACTTAATCCTTGGTGGAGCAAAGACTGGGCCTCATAACCCTTTGTTAGCCGAGCTATACTCTCGCGCCGAATGATCATCCCTTCCCGTACGACCGACGACAGAGCGACAACGAATGACAAACGTCACACTGGACTAGCATCAAGCGCAGAGACGTTATGCTAACGTATGAGCATCAACAGTTATGTCATGGTGCGATTGAAGACTGGGCCAAGTCCACATCGTCACAATATAACTTCACCGCTGGTCCTAGCCAGCGCTCGTATTTGACTGTCCTGCATCTCCTCATCTTGGTCTCACCTACACTCTTTTCCATTAACTCAAGATACCCAGCTTAGCCGCAATCCTCACACAGATCTGTCTCAAAAATGTCGATTCTACACCTCCCAGAACCACTGCCATCAACATCTATCACGCTCGGGCAGATCACTACAAACTCTTTAAGCGCCGCCTCAGACTCCATCAAGCCTCCAGTAACTTCAGAGTTCACACAGAAGGTGGCTCGCTCAAAACAAGAGGACGCTACATCTACATTGCACGTCAGCCTCACCGACGCATCACAAGTCTTCGACACCTTACGCAACGACACCAGCACACAAGACTTCCTCCGCAAGCTATCGCAACAAAACAAGCCAATCTACTTCATCACCGGCCTCCAAACTTCCAAATCCCCAAGCCACAAGCGTGCGACCGTGTCACACGAGCCCATAACCGAGGCTACCGAAACCCCGCAAACACAAGCAGTCCAACTACCCTTCCGCCGGATAGACTCGGCATCTAACATGGCCTCCCCTGGCGAAGAAGGTTCGGTCGTCGCAGTCGAGCTGCTTAAAGTAAAATGCCGCATTGGCGCCGTGGATGAACCGCATTGTATTTCGGATGTGGACTATGTGTGGAGCTATCATGCGCTTGAGGGTGAGGACGAGGATTTGCAATTGTCTATTGGGCTGGGGAAGGCGGTGGATGAACGGGAGTGGAAGGAGTTGACGGGTGGTAAAGATGAACGGGTGGAAAGAGACGCTGATCATAACTGGTCTTACGACTACGAAGACAGCGATGATGGTCTTGGTGGGTTCTAGGCGGAGATTTCTGTGAACAAAACATGACCTCCCCATGACATCAATCCAAACTCTTCACATCGATACAGTCAACAGTACTCTTCCCAGTCCTCTCCAATATCCTCCACAATAGCAATACCGTAGACCTGAGTATACTCCGTCTTCGCATCCCTCTCCGCATCGACCTCACTACTTCCATTCCGCACATTCCTCTGTGTGAGCAACTTAAGCATCACAGCTTGACAGTGCTCAACATGCTTGGCCTTGAACACCTGCAACTCTTGATTCTTCTTCTTGTAGTCGTGAAGCTGTGCTTTCATATCACCAACAGTGTTTTCCAGAGATGTCTTGGCTTCAGTCAACGTACGGACCTGTTCCTCGAGCGCAGCGGTATCCGGGGTGTCGATGGCAGTAGTCAGGTTTATGAAGTCGAGCAGAGAGGTGCGATTTGACGGAGCGATCTTTTGTCTCTTGTTGATAGCGGAAGAGGTGCGCGTCGGGGTGAAGAGCTCGCGCTTCGGGAAAGTGGGCCAGGGACTGGATGCGCGGAGCTGGTAGCCCGATTCCATGATGTCGTCTTCGTCTTCGGATAGCTCGATAAGGTCTTGGATGAGGTCTTCCGGGGGCGACTGTGCTTGCCCTTCGTCGTTGTTGGGCTGGAGGTCTAAAGGCGCTTGTGTTTGGCCATGTGCTATAGCGTCTACAGCAGAAGCGTCCGCTGTACGATTCTTCCCATACTGGCGGTATCGCGTCGGCAAAGCCTCTTCCCGTCCACCTCCTTGGAGTGTCCGTCGTAGTCGCGCCCACGCCTTCTTGATCACTGCCGCCAGCTCTTTAGGCCGTGCGTCTACTCGAGTCTGAAAGCCCTCGTCGTCTTGGAGTCCAGCGTCGATGAGCGCAACACGTGCGCACGTGCTGATTCTAGCAAACCAGATCTTGCGTGTACCGACGTTGTCTTTACTCTCAGTGAGTAGCTGGAACGCAGGCGCGAATTCAATGGCGCCGTCTAGTATTTCGGGCAGTTGGACTTCGAATAGGTCATCATCGAAGAAGCACATGCGCCACGGTCCCGATAGTGTCTGTATTTTGGCAGTGTGTTTGGGATGACGGAACGCTGCCCATACTGGTGTGTTTTCGGCGTCACGGAGATGACCTAGGAGGACTTTACCAGGAAATAGGGCGAAGTGTTCCTTGCTGTCTGGCTCTAACAAGGTGATTGCTCGTTCTTCATGGGCCGCCATGGGACGCGTCTGAAACCAATGGTCGGTGGGGATGTGGTCTTTCAGTACCTTGATGTAGTGTGTCGCTGCAGTCTTCTGCGGTTGAGGCTTCGACATGTTGAGTACGATACTGTTCTTGCACTCAACAGTGTGCCTGGGGGCGGAAACCGATGCAACAGGAGCTGCTGTTAGGCCCGCCGACGATTGTATACTTGGCCTAGCCCGGGCTGCTTGCGACACGTTGTTTAGACCTTTCTCGACATTCTTCCGTATCGATGTAAGTAGATCGGCGGGTATACCAGAGACCGTGGCTTCCGAGTAGCCAGCCTCCAACATCACGATCTTGATCACTATCTTTAACCGCTCCTCCCAAGCTGCAGTACCAAGGGGACACGCGTCATCTGCAATAAGGCGACACCACGGTACGAAGTGAGACTGCGCAAATGGTGTATGATCCGTATTGTCGCCGCCGCGGTTGTCCTCGTAGTGTACTTCCATCGTCGTCTTGTGATTACTCATTATCCTGCGCAGATAGCCCCACACGCGAGTACCATCGTTTGTACCGAGGAGGACTTTACCGGGGTAGAATGGACGTCCATAGTATATGTCTTGTTGTGATGCTTCCACTGTAGGATAGCAGTCGGTTGGGATGGCGTTGCGTAGCTTTGCGAGCACGGCGGGGTGCTTGTTTTGCTGGTCTTTGAGTACCGCTTTGTTGATGCGTACATCTTTAGTGGGCTAATATAGCTGTTAGCCTTCATGAACAGACTGTGTATGTCGCGATGCGCTAGTCTGCGAACCTCTTGAATTGTGGGCGCCATGGGGGTAAGTTGCTCTATGTAGTAGTTAGTAACCGCTATCGCGTCATATCCTTGATGCTCCGCCTGTCTCTGTGGTTCACAGAGTACCTGAGCCTGTTTGGGTGTTGTTTTGCGTCCGAGAAAAGAAGGGACTTACCTAGCCTCTGCCTAGGTAGGCTGTAACAATCTACTTGAACAGATATAGTGCTACAGAGATGGCTCTGTGTTATCCCGACTGTATATCTGGTGTGCTTGTGCGTGATCAAATTAATAGCGTAGTCTCGATACAGTACAAGTTGGAGGAGACGAGAGAGGGCGCACTGCATCACTAACGCGGCTAGCGTCGTCGGATTACCTAGGAGATCACAACAAACGAGAAATGTATTCACTGCAGTGCGCAAATCATATAGAAAGAATGTTTTTCGACTATACAAATGATTAGACACATCCTGACTAGTTTTGAGGTACTCTGAAGAGGCCCGCTAAGTGCTGCCCTAATCGTGAATAGAGAGGAAGTAGTAAATGCACACTTTTGGAAAGCAGCCTGGAAAGGAAAATAACATACAGATAACTCCATCGCCTGCTAATTGTGCTGTAGAGGCTGCATTCATGGCATCGGCTGTTTCATGTATACGCACATAGAGCCCGACTAACAGCCGAAGCGCTCCCAAGGTCCACAGCTTATGCGCATAGTAAGCAAAAACCCAAATGAGAGTAGCATCTTCAGGATCACTGAGTTGTGGGAAGTGTTAGACGCACTCAGACTATATCGCCCAGCGCTCCGACTTCAACTTCAATACCGTATGTCTCGACGTACTGGCTCTTAGCGTCTCGGCTTGCCGTTTCTGGATCGGTTCCATCTTGGTCACCAATGTCGAAAGCCATGACTTCGAGTAGAATGTGCTGCGCATGTTTGACATGCGCTTGTCTCAACTTTCTGAGACTGCCCATCTCCGCTTGTAGCTCCGCGCCGTCTCGCTCGAGTTTTGCTATCTTCTCATGGGCGACGGCTAGCTCACTTCGCAGAGTCACGGCGCCAACAGTCTTCTCTTTGCATAGTTCTTGAAGCTGTTCGTTCTCTGTCTTTTGTCGCTCGGCGTCAACTTCGAGAGTCGCACATCTCTTCTTCGAAGCGGCAAGCTCGTAAGATAGAGATCCTGGCCCAGTCTCACGAGCCCTCCTAAGAAACTGTATCGACGGCGATATCTGATCGAGAGTTAGAAAGGTATTAGGAGTTGTTTAGTGACTTACCGAGCTTACGGTCGAAAATCCTCTCGGAGCTGGTGTCGTAGCCAACGAGACTGAATCTCCAGCATCTTCACCAGCTTCGTGATCAGAGGCCATACGACGCTTTTTGGGCCTCATGTCTGCAATCGGGATGCTGGGAGAACTGGAAATAACATCAATGCTGGATGAAGCATTGATATCGTCCGAGGCTTCTACGTCAGCGGGTCTTGCGGTGCTGGTGTCAAGTCTGTTCCGGTTTTGGCGAATGATCTCGGCGGCTCGTGGTGCTTTGGTCTGGATTGAGAGCTCGTCTCCGTCAATCATTCCCGCGTGAACGAGTGCTGCCCGTACACAAACGGCTACCGAAGCCCGCCAGGGATCGCGTATGGTTTTCTTCTTCTCGCGTGCTTCAGGATCTCCAAGATATCGAAAAGGCTTGTCGAAATCTATCTTACTAACGAGATCTTCATCCCTCAAGTTTGCCTTTCGGCCGTCGTTCCAGTAGCACAGAATGTGTCCAGACCTTTCGGCGGATGCTTTCCCTTTGGCGGACGCTTTCCCTTTGACCCTCGCCCACACCTCCTTTGGTGAGCCACTCGGTGATTTTGCAGATGGCAAAAATCCAAGGTAGACTTTTCCAGGATACATTTTGCCGACATCCTCACTGCAGTTCTCGACACGTGGCCAGACTGTAGGCGGAAATGCCTCTTGTAGTTCTTGTATATGAGACGGTTTCATACCCGACCTTTTTGCAGAAAGAGCGTGCGCAGTACTGCTAGGTTCTGTCAGAGACGCCTCTTCCTCGTTATCTCCACCCAGATACTCGTCCTCAGACTCAGGTTCCATGATCTGTTCGATGAATCTGTCTAGGTAGTCTCCCTCCGACGGTCGCTTGCCGTTGGCGTTGCGCATCGAAGAAGAACTGGCTTGGTGGGTAGGCTTGCGCTTGTTGATGACACTGATGACTGTTGCTAGGTCTGGAAACGTATAATCCTTTGGGTCCAGATATCCACTCCCAAGGAGAGCAATCTTTACGACCGTTTTGAGACGCCTCTCCCATTCGCCACCAGAGGAGCCTACAGGTGACTGGTCTGTAGCGATCATGCAACACCATTTCTGGAACTCGACCTTGCGGAACTTTGGCTCGCCGATCCGGAGCTCCTCGTGGGTATTGTAATAGAAGCTCAGTACAGCACCTCCTCTGCAATCAATCTTCCAGAGATGAGCCCACAAGGCGCGTTCTTCCGCAGTATCCTGTCCCTGGCTCTTTTCTGGGTTGACGTGGCCGACCAGTACCCTCCCGTGTTGAAGCTCTGCTTTGCCGAATGATACGTCTTCTGAGAGTGCTGGGCGTACCTCCGGCCAAAGCTTATCGGGAAGGACCTCGCGAAGTCTTGTCAATGCCTCATGATGTACAGGGAATATGTTAGCCTTGTTGCTTGTTCCGCTGGAATGGGAACTCGGCTTGCTGTCTGAGACCATGGTACGGTTTGTGGCGAGGTGCGAAGGGAGATATGTCGGCTGGCGCATGATACGGGGGGAGTGATTTCGATGAGAGTGATGTGTCGAAAACGTCAGCTCTTGTATCTGTAGTATTCTCATTCAAGACTTGCTGAACTCGTGGGCGATTCGTCAGGACCAGAGAATGGAGGTGACTAGACCAGAGTACGAGAGTGGCAGAGATCAGGCGTGCCAGGGTCGAATTGAGTAACGCAGAAGCAGGAGGTTGAGTCAATTAAAATGGACGGTGACCGCAAGTTTGAGTTTCGTTATCACAACAACGGGTGCCCGCGCCTTTGGATTTAGTCACCTACAAACAATGGGTGACGGGCAATCTGAGTGCCAAGAGAGGGCAATTGGGACATGGGGGCGCCATCGGACGCGTCAAGGCAGCCGTTCAGGCCTGACCGCCAGGAATACTGACACATTGCAGTGATGCCAGATGTAAGCCGATCTTGTGATAGGCTGAATGTGCTCGTGTATGAGACAAGTGATGGAGATGCAAACGACCTGGAGCGGGATACCTGCCGCGCTAACGAGTAGGCGCTAGCGCGAAAGACAGGCACTTCGGGCAGGCACATCACCAAAGGACATCAAACCCCCCTCCACACCGCCGAATGACGTACGATATACAGACAAACCAACCTCGCTATTGGACGCCGAACCTTTGGAGAAAAGTCCAGCTCGCCGTGACTACCGATGGCGCATCTCGCTCGCGTCTACAGTGCGCGAAGACGCGTCGCGCTGAACACCTACGTCGAAACGACCTGTCACGAACAGGACACAGCCTCTGATACGTCGCGATATCGGGTGGACACCGCAAGATCCACCCTTTGATGACAAAGACCGCAATGGCGGGTCTACAACCATACATGTGGCATAACGTGCGGGAACCTTGTGTCGGTTCGGCAGCCGACAGTGCAGCTTGGCCAGAATGTCAACTTCCGCGCAGGCTGGCCAGGGCAACCCGCCTAGAACAGGTCTCGAGGCATATAAAAAGCCATGTCGCTGGTCTTATGGGTCGATGCTTCGGCTAGGCGCGTTGAACAGCCACTGTCGCTATAGGCTTGAGGAGCTTGCTCCCCTGCACAGGGTACGCACTACCGTGAAGACGACCTGCCGTTTGGTCTTGGTCTCCGCACATGCTAGTGTAGCGACGCGCCGCTGTAAATGCTCCTGTAGTACACAGTTGCCGCTTCCTTGTCATGGGGCATGGCATGGACTACAGTCGGCAACTACCTAATGCATACTACGTGCTAGACAAGTGGGCGGTAGAGGGCTTATCGCCCAAGCTTTCTCTGAAGACCGAGCACTAAATGTAGCCGGGATACTGATCATCTCGCAGACCGCACTCGCAGCCGTAGTACACGATCGTTTTGCAAGCGCGCAGGCATACTCGTGACACGATACCGAGTTCTAGCTGAGCGTCGATACCACCTGCTCGGTTATATAACGAAAGCACGATCTGGCGAGCGAAGAGGGAACGATGTGATGAACATGGGTGGAGAGTGCATGGGTCTACCTGATACATTCGTGATTGATGAGAGAGCGGCTTTCGATCTCTGGTAGGCGTACCTTCATACTATACACTCCGAATGGGATTTGTGTCAATCACCCTAAACCCGATCTTTTGCCCGCCTCATCATGTCCGCTAATGAGTTCTCTGATAGTTTCGTGTCTGAACATTCGAACCGCTCTGTAATTAGCAGGAGCTTCCAGGGTTTAGCTACCGCCAGTACTTTGCGCCCTCCCTGGTCATGTTCATCCAGCTCAGCGAGCGATTTGCTCTCAATAGCATCTAGAATGATCGGCCTGCAGACCTCGTAGACCTCACGGACTCTACGGAAAGATTCATCAAGACATGGCCTTTTTCATTATCGCACCTAACATCTATAGCATACCATGAGGATACCATCACAACACTTTTTATGCTATGTTGATTTAGAACACGGTGTGCACCTCCAAGGCATGATATAGCCAAAAGAAAACGAGTCTCATAATAATAGGCTGTGGATTGGGACGTTGCGGTGGGGTATGGCTCTTTCCTCATCGCGTGTGCACGTGCGGGGCAAATGACAGAGCTTGATCTCGCCAATCACCGTTTGTCTCCGCCTGCACCATCGCCAGTCAACTCATCTCTCGATCTCAGATCAACACCAAGGCATCGTGTATTACCCCGTTCCTTGAACGGACTACACCTCATTCGTGGCCATGCATGAAATCGTGACTTTGCAGTTCGGCAAGCAGAGCAACTACCTGGGCACCCACTTTTGGAACACACAAGTAGGTCACGAATTCTTGGCGCTCCGTCGTCTCATCTGATATTTTCGCAGGAGTCCTACTTCACATACCCGCCCGAGCCAGAGTCACCTGTGAATCATGACATACTGTTTAGGCCAGGTGTTGCTCCAGATGGGTCCGATACTTTTACGCCAAGGACGCTCATATACGATCTCAAAGGTGCTTTTGGTAGCATGAGAAAGATCAATGCGCTATACGAGGCCGAAGACGACAGAAGCATATTGGATCAGAACGGTGTCTGGCCATCGAAGCCTATTGTACAGCGTGCAATAGAGACTATCCCACAATCCACCTATCAAGAGCACCTCGATGCCGGCCTACAGCCTCCTCCGCTCAGTACATCGTCTGTCAGATATTGGTCAGACTACAGCCGTGTCTACTACCATCCAAAGTCCATTGTTCAGCTGTCGGAGTTCGACGTCAACGATAAGCTCATGCCCTTTGAGAGCTGGGACGTAGGAATGGAGCTTTTCGAGAAGCTTGAAAGGGAAGTAGATTTGGTTGACAGAGATCTACGACCATTCGTCGAAGAATGTGATGGCATTCAAGGACTCCAGATCTTCACGGGTGTTGATGACGCCTGGGGCGGTTGGGCCTCGGGATGGCTTGAAAGGCTCAGAGACGAGTACGGCAAGATGAGCATTTGGACGTGGGGCTTAGGTGACCATGGTGCCAACTCATCGACCCCTCGAGTAGGTTCCTATTCAGGGTTTTGGATAAACTCAAGACTAACATAGAGCAGGAAAGACGCATACAACAAGTGGCGAATTCTGCGCGATCTCTTCAAATACTTGGGGAGCAGTCGTCAGTATACGTCCCGATGTCGAACAGCCCTGCTAAACTACCGGGCTATCTATCGTTAGATGCAACTTCTCCCTGGCATATTGCAGCTTTACAAGTCATGGGTCTGGAAAGCATGACCATATCCTCACGTTTGAGAGCATCTCTAGGCGGGCGCGGAACGCTTCAGGACTTGGAAAACACTATCAACAGTACCGGGAAACGACGTATAGCGAAGCTCGAGATGAGTGCTGCAGATCCGGAGGTACTGTCAGATAAGGCTTTCGATGAAGCCGAGAAAGCGGAAAAGGTTGGTTCCATGACATCAAGGCAGACAAGTGAGGGCGACGATCGACTAAGCCATTTCGACATTGATACCTTCACTCGCGATTACAGAACGGCTACCAGGAAAGGAAAGAAAGAACACGTTTTTGGGCGAGCGGAGGCTTCTCGTGGAGAGTGGGCCCTATCTGAAGATAACGAACGTGATCCTCATGACAGGTTCGATAATGGACCAGCAGTGCAAAGGTATGTGTCACTTCATCACCATCGATGCGTATATCGTATTATCAGCGCTTGCAAATTGGGCGCAAAACGAGGAATTCAGGCTGACGCGTTTCAGATTTGCTGCACCGCTACTATTTCCTTTGCTTGACAGCTTTCCTCGTTCGATGCTGGACGTAGGGTCCGGTCACTCCACTAAGCTTGCTGTACATACGGGGCTGACGACAAGTACCACTGTCGCTGATCAGATCCGAGCAGTCGAGCAGATCGTCAAGCGAATGGGCGGCATTGAAGAAAAGGAAGCGCTATGCAACGGCTTACAAGTCCTCGCGGAAGAATACGATGAAGGCTGGGATAGTGGATCAGAAAGCGATGACGACGATTAGTCGCGTTGCAACGAGCCTGCTTTTTACGCGTGGCTGGCGCACAGTGTCTTGATGGGAATGACAGCGCGTCTGCTCCCGGCCTCAATACACAAGGATATTACCGTCAGACACGACCGATTGATCTGCGACACAACACTCTGGTGACACCAATACAACACATACCTTTGCGCGATTCGTAGCGGATGTGCAGGGCCGGAATTTCTGTGCTCGAAGAACTTTTCATCACTGAGCAAGCACTGCGACATCTGACGGATGTTGAGGTGCCGCCACGACGGTACAGGGAACCCCGAACGTGGAAGGCATCAGACCCCATCGAGCTCGGCTTAGGAAGAGCATGCGACGAACCCCCATAGTGACATCATACTGAACAAGTCGTTATGCATGGTGCTTCGTTACGCCGCAGTTCGGGCTTGATCGCCAGGGCAACCCTCTGCAAGTTTTGCGCTGTTAAGAGACCTCTATTTTCTGATCGCAAGCCAAACTTTGGACTGAGCCGGACTAAGGCCGCGATCTGCTGGTGGGCCAAGACATGATCTGGTGATATTGGTGAAGGTTTTACTGCTCGCGCGTATGCAGGGTGGAGCCTGCCGCTGAACCTTTACGCGTTCGCGGACGCTTGTACGAAGCGCCGGGTAGCTAAACTGCAGGTGTGCGCGGCAGCTCTTGCTCGCCCGAACACCACAACAACGGTCGTCTGGAACCCAAATCTGACTGCGATGCACGATACGGCTGGGCGTCCTTGCTAGGATGGGGCCAGCCGCAATCAGCTAATGACTTTCCGAACGGCGGCGGCAGCTGCTGCAGGAACTATCTACAGCTGCCGTAAGCTGACGCGCAGCCAGTCGTACAACGACAGTCAGGAAAACTCTGATTCTTACTGCGATTGCTCAATGATCGGGGTAACGCGGGGTAGCGAGGCATGCGAACGTTGCAGCAGTCTGGCTGGGACACTACCAGCCTCCAACGAGTCCGCCAATTGCAATGCGCCGAAAAGTTCACGATATGGAAACA